GAGGACTCAGGAGAGAGTTCTGGGCCAGACGTGAAGAATTGAGAGTCGCTGGAATATTGGTTTTTGGATGAGGCTACTCAGAGAGAGTACATAGGGTGAGAAGGGAAGTGAGCAGAGAACTGAACCTTAGGGAACATCAACATGTAAGAGATAAACAGTAGAAGAGGACACTAAGGAAGAAACAGAGAGGTAGAATGAAAACCAGAAAGGATGATATGAGGAAGCCAAGGCGGGGTATGAGAGGATATGATCATATCAACATCAAATGCTAGAAAATAAAAAAAAAAAAACTGAAGAATAATAAGGAAAGAAAAGTATCCATTGTACTTGAGAATTTGAATCTCCTAAGGTAATTGTAAACCTTCAGAAAGCACTGTCAGTGGGGTGGGAGGCTGGGGTGGGGTTGGGTGAAGAATAAGGGGAGATAAATGATGGTGGGTTGAATTTGAGATATACCATAGGCAAGTGTGGATAGAGGAGGCTTAGGACTCTTCCAAGGAGCTTAGCTTTGAAAGAGAGGAAGAAAGTGAACCAAAGGGCAGTAGTAGTTAAAGGGACCTAGGTCTTCAGAGAGGCTGTTTGTTTTCTTTCTTTCTTTTCTCTTTTTTTTTTTTTTTTTGGTGGGGACAGGGTTGGAGACAGTGGCGTCATCATGGCTCACTGCAGCCTCCAACTCCTGGGCGCAAGCAATCCTCCTGTCTCCTCCAATCCTCCAGTCCTCCTGTTAGTGAGCGCCTGTAGTCCCAAGTGGCTAGGATTACAGGCACTCACCAAACACACCCAGCTAATTTTTCTATTTTTTGTAGAAACGGGGTCTTGCTCTTGCTCAGGCTCGTCTTGAACTCCTGGCCTCAAACAATCCTCCCGCCTCGGCCTCCCAAAGTGTTAGGATTACAGGAGTGAGCCACCACGCCTGGCCTATTTTCTTAAAGCTGGAAGACATTTAAAGAGAGCAGGAAAGCATGTTTGTATGCCTAGAGGAAGCCAGAGAGAGAGGGTGGGTAACCTCATGGGGGGTTGAACAAAGTTATTGAGGAGGCAGGAGGACAAGTGATGTAGGTGAGACCCACTGCCATGAGCCCAACAATATTTTCTTATTCTAGTTTCTTCACCAACAATTGGTGAATAGCCCTAAGACACAATTTTTAGGATAGATTCAGTAAATTGAGTTGAGAACACTTCTTACATATTTTTGTACTCCCTACCATAATATGTTAGATATGGCAGGTATACCTACAAATTTTTAATTCATTAAATCATTCCTCTGATCAGTAATTAACAACACCCTATTGCTTACAGAGAATGAAAGTAGAAGCTAATTCAAGTCCTTCAGAGCCTAGTTAAAATCGTGGTTTCCAGCCAGGCTGCTGGGTAGGTTTGCCTGTGAACACGACTTGCTCATCCTGCTGCCTTTGCCCTGCTACCACCCATCACAATATTATCCCCCCTTACATAGAGGGAGATTAAGAATAAACTCCCAACCTGTCATGGGCCTACAAGGTCCTTAGGATCTGCCTTCTTCCTGCCTCTCCACTTGCCTATACAACCACTCCTGCACTCTCTCTTCTGTTCCTTGAACTGGGAAGTACTTGGCTGCTTCCAGATAGTAGCCCTTGCTTTGACTGCTGACTGGAATGTTCTTTCCTGAGCTCTTCGTAGGGTGGCTGCTTCCTACCCTTTGAGTCTCAGCCTGAATGTCACTTCATCACATGTGATGAAAGTAGATCTATATAAAGTAGATCCCATACCCCATTTTGAATGATCATAAAAAACTTCTTTCTTTCAAAGCACTGAGAACAATCTGTACTTATTTTATTCATTTATTTGTTTATTGTCCTTCCCTTTCCCCCTAACAGAATGGAACTCCACGAGGGCTGGAACCCCAATCTGTCTTGTCTAGGACAGTGCTTGACAAATGCTTTAAAAAATATGCTCCCAGAATCAATAAATGAACAGCTCCTCCGTAGGGTCAAAGCCCAGTTTAAATCCCATCTCCATAGTGAATGCAAATAATAGCTTCTGTGCATCGATTGCTTACCTTGTTCCAGTGGTACTGTTACCTCACTTAATGAGGCCCCTCCATTTACTCCTGTAATTCATATGGTAGTTATTATCCAGGCCACTCATTCTGTATTTAATCACAATTTAGTCTCTTGCTTTGTTGTTTAATATATTACGTGCTTCATTCTTTGTGCTCCAGTGACATAATTAGTGGCCCCCACTAATTATGCCCAGTGCCAAGGCACACAGAGAGAGCTCAAGGTATGCTGAGTCACTGAAAATGTCTTCCCCAGGGTTGTAACATTAACATAATTAGAATGTAGATAAGTTGTCTTTATTAATGTCAGATTAACACAGCCACACTTTAAAGCAGTGAAAACAGATTTTATTCAGTAACTACTGACAATAGGCAGAAGAACTGAGTTCCCTTCAGATTTCCCTTCAGAGGTAATCAGGCTTTTTAAAGAAAAAATGAGTTGGGGATGGGGGATTGGGGAGGAATAACTGGGGCTTGAGCAAAGTCTAGGAAGTGACAAATTACAAAATGTGGGAAAGGAGGGGCTTGGTCAATGTGAAACCCATCTAGGTTTGCTAACCAGTGCTTACTGAAGTTAGGCTCCTACCCTCCCACTGAGACTGGAAGACAGGGGCTCTGTCTTCAGGTGTTGGCAGGAACAAATAGTGGATTCTTTTGGCAGCCTTGAGTTTTCTCAGGCAGGCACTTTATAGGGGGCTAGGGTCATCCTAGGAATGTGGCCTTGAACTGTCAGAAACTATGCTAGTGTTTGTTCAAGTCTTCATAGGCTAAGGTTGAGGCCTAAATGAGAAGAAGGCTCAAAGGAGCCTGATCAGAGTTTGGTCAAGGAGAAAATCTTTGTCAACCATAAACTTTAAGCAGAAAATCTAACCCAAGCTGCAAATAGATAAATTCCATTCTACCTATAAGATGTCAAAAATGTTTAAAACAATATAGTTTGAGCTTTAAGGTATGAGATATGCACTGCAATCCCTTCATTTTCTAGAACAATTTGTTAAAATCTTAACTTTCTAGAAATGATTTTCTATTCTGTGAAAAATGCCTGTGAAACCAAATTTGCCAAATTTCACAATGAGAAGCCATAAGAGTTCCTGGCATTAAGTGTTAAATGTTGGGTTTTGAAGTATCTACTTTGCAGTGTTGCAGAATCCCAGGCTCCAGAACCCTGCAGTGCTGGTGAAGATTTCAGGAGTCTCTCTGTGTCCAGGCAGTGGTTGGGTGAACCTGGAATCTGCCGGGATGGAAACTGAAGGGAAGAGTATCCTCCCAAATTCCTCTAGACACTTCTGCAGTCTGGAAATTCTGTTCTACGTCTCACCTTAGGTTTCATTTACAACCTACTCTTTCAGATTTGGGGCTCAGATGGTAAGGAATACCCCTAGACTCCAAAGAGTCCTCCCTTCATTGTAAAAGATGACATCAGGGCAGTCTGCTCTGCCTACACCACATGGGTGTGACCCTCCCCAAGGCTGGCAGTAAACGTGGAGGCCCCAAGGGCTCTTATATCCAGCACTCTATCCCTGAGAGCCATGAGAGTCATTCCTGAAATCATCTGACTCTGAGTACACCCAATAGTGATTTTCTTCTTGGGTTCCACCCTGAAGTAGATGTGTGTAGTCAGGAAAATGTCACCCAACCTGTCTCTCCCCATCTGACAGGTCAGCAGGAAGCACCTGTCTTGCTGGGTGTGTTTCCTTGATGACAGCCTGCCTCCAATAAGAGAGGGTGGCTTTTCTTGATTAAATCTTAAATGCTACAGACTCAACTCTTCATTGCAGTAGTATCTGGGCAATGCTGTACTCTACCAAGGACTGTTTTTTAGCTTCTCAGTGACCAGGGAGGTAATTAAATGCCATGGTTTTAATGACACATTTTCCATCCCAGCTGCTTAGAGTTCCTCCTCTGATAAATAGTTTAGCAATTATCTCTTTGGCCACTACCTGCCTCCCCCAGAATGGTCTGCTGGGTGACCTGTAATTCTGCCATTTTCCAGAGTACCTATAAATTAGGGAGAACTCTTGCCATTTGGAGGAATGTCTGCACAAAGCTTCTTTATGGGAGTGGAACGTGTCTGTCTTTTTAAATTAGAACTGCTGGGGACTAAGCACCATCAAGGTGACCACGATTTACCAAAATGCCAGCTTTTCAATGTTGTTAAGTGTGCAACTTTCCCGATTGTAGATCCAGTAAGAGGAAAGCAGACAAAATGTATTGTCATGATTTTGCAGGACTAGTGTGCCTGGCAGTCAAGACCTTACTCCACGGCTCAAATTTAGATACTGACATTATCTCCAAGTGAAACTGTAGAGTCCCTGTGCGTATATGTCAGTAGATCATTTACCAACTGTAAATAAACATTTAACATATGGCACATTGCAACCCTCCTTTTCACACTGCCTTATTTTTTTGTTTGTTTAACATATCAGGAACCACAAATATCTATACATGTACTTTTTTTTTTTTTTTTTTTTTTTTTACAATGCTATGACTGTGCTATATACATGTACTTTGATCCTGTCCCAACCTCTTGAAGATCCTGATTTAGGGTCCTGTCACCAGCAGGGGAATGGGTGAAAGGGTGACTTGGAGGGCAGGGTTTGAGCAGCAGGAATTTCAGAGCCAGCTCCAAAGTCTCCCGAGACTTGGGCCCTGCCTGAGCCAAAAGGACGCCCCGCAGCCCCACAGCTACCTGGAGCTGAGCTTGGGGCGGGGCCTCAGCGGGCTGGGGCGGGGCCTCGGCAGCGCGCAGGATGGGGCAGAGCCTGGGCGGGATGGGGCGGAGCCGTGGCGGGGCGGAGCCGTGGCGAGGCGCGGCCGCGGGAAGGAAACGCGCAGGCGGGGAGCCCTGGGTTTGTCCCCCGCGCGGGGCGGTGCCGGGGTGGGAGGGGGCCGGCCGGAACTCCAGAGGCCACTGCTCCTGCGCCGGGCGGGGCCGTGGCCGCGAGCGCCGGAAGGGACGGGGCTGCGCGCGGCTTTGAGCTGCCGGCGGCGGGCGGGGCGGGCCGGCCCGTTTTTAATTTGTTTCCTTTATCCTCTTTTCTGGGCTCATCCCCAAAAGCAGAAGGTTTAGAGGCATAGCTACTATCAGACCCACCCACCGTGCTCCAGCCACGTGCATGGCCACGAAAGCGCCCGTTCCTCCCAGACCCCAGCCATATAAAGCGGTTTCAGGGTACGCCTGTATGGACGTATCTCCCCAAAGTGAACAGTTGGTGTCTAGCCATTTCGAAGTTGGTCTTTTTGGGGAAAGAACAGTGGGAGAACCACGAGGAACTCGGGTCCTCGAACGAGGAACGCCTCTCCCCACGCCTCGTGGCATGGTGCTTGGGCCCTGGACCCCTGGGTTTATCCTCCACCACCACCCGAGCCCCCAAATCTGGATGCCCTCCTGTGAGCAGCTTCAGGGCCATGCCAGTTTCACCTGCATTAAATACCTTGATGTATCTCTCATCTAGATCCTTGACTCAGTGATACAGATCTTGTAAGGGTTGTTTGGAAGCCACAGCCCGGCCTCCTGATGCAGTCTGAATCCAGCCAGTGTGAAGAGGAGACCCCTTCCCTCTTGTGGGGTTTGGATCCTGTGTTTCTAGCCTTTGCAAAACTCTACATCAGGGACATCCTGGATTTAAAGGAGTCCCGCCAGGTGCCAGGTATGTGGTTGTTCATGATGGATGCCTTGGGCTCTGTCCCCCAAAGTTGCAGAAGGCTGGGATTAGGGGCTTTCAGGAGAGCCTTTCCTGCTGCAGGCTTTGAAAATGACCTAGCCTGGACCTTCGAATGAGTTCATTTCTTTGTAAGGTAAAAACAGATTAAATCTTTTTTTTTTAAATAGGTGTTTGGGGGAGTAATCTTTGTAATGAGGAATGTTTTTTACCTGTGTTTGGGGTCTTTCATATTTAAAACCATTCAGTTGTCTTTTTTGGGACCTGCTGTTGGTGGAAACATCACTGGACTAGGCATTCCTAGGCCTGGTTCCTTTTCCTAATCTGCCACTTACCTGGCCTGCTCATGTGACTTGCCTTCAGTGAAGCTGCACATGTGACTCATCTTCTGTAAAGCTTATGTTTCTTGTGTGTAAAAATGGCGCTTAACCATGCCTGATTTTCTTGTGAGGGTTTGCTTTGTTTTGAATTGATCAGAATCAAAATGTTATAAGCTCCCTGAGAAGGAGGACATCATCTGCCTCATTCACCTTTAATCCCAGTGCTTACAGCAGTGCCTGGCATGTGGTGCACCCTCAAGAAACAGCAGGTGGAGCAACAAGGCATTATAAATGTGAAGTTTAAAGGAATTTTTTAAAATGAGAGTAGTGGTTACTAAAGACAAGCTTATCATACCTAACAATATACCAAATTCAGTTTAGGGTAGATTTAAATAATTCACATAGCTGTGGGCGGATCATCATGTGTTCACTGTGCTAGTTGAGAAGTTTGGTTAAACTCCTTTTGTTATTTTGAGTGAGGCTTTCCAGTGAAGGGCCTTCTGAATAGCAAGCTCTGACTCAGAAGTAGTCAGAAAGCTCAAGTGTCCACATTTTTAATGAGATGAGGTTTTGTCTGTTTCCAGCTCTATGTACAAATATATTTGGATGACCTTACACTATAGCCTTTTGTGCAGATTTTTCACCACACCTTTATTTCCTGCTTATTGTTGGAAATGGTCTCTTTTGTTTTGTTTTTTCCCTTGGAAGGCAGCCAGCCTCCTCCACAGCTTTCCATTTTCCAGAACAGTCTGGTGTTCTTCATAGTTCATCTCCTCAGGAAGAAATTAATTCACACCAAATGCCAGCTTTGCTTCAAGATCTTTGTGGGTGAGCACGCAAGTGTCAGGGACATGATAGGGGCTTAACTCTTCCTGTGGGCGAGGGACTTCATGATGTGTTACGAACAAACCAAGGAAAACAGGGACCGGTGATCTTTGCCTTTGCTCTTTCACGGGTGAGAATGTTTTCAGTGTGTTTAATGAAAATTCATGGTTGAAGCAGACATCAGCCATCATTTCACAGAGTCGTCTTCTTTAGCCTATCCGGTTCTGAGGGGTGGGGAATTCCACTAGCCTAGGTTTTTGTTTTGTTGTGTTTGGTTTGGTTAGATTTGCCATAAAGAGAAAACTTTTGACTTCATAAAATTTAGGAATATTTAAATGGCAAAGAATATCTTAAACAAAATAACAATGGTTAAACCCCAAAAATGATAAAATATGAAACAAATATGTTGTGTAATGAAGAGTCTGGCTAGACGGGCATGGTGGCTCATGCCTGTAATCCTAGCACTCTGGGAGGCCGAGGTGGGCGGATCGTTTTGAACTCAGGAGTTCGAGACCAGCCTGAGCAAGAGCGAGACCCCCATCTCTACTAAAAATAGAAAGAAATTAATTGGTCAACTAAAAATATATATATTTAAAAAAAATTAGCTGGGCATGGTGGCACATGCCTGTAGTCCCAGCTACTCGAGAGGCTGAGGCAGCAGGATTGCTTGAGCCCAGCAGTTTGAGGTTGCTGTGAGCTGGACTGACGCCATGGCACTCTAGCCGGGGCAACAGAGTGAGACTCTGTCTCAAAAAAACAAAACAAAACAAAAAAAACCCACAAAGAGTCTGGCTGGCCTTTGCCCTTGGTTCTTTCAGGGAACCCTCTAAGTTATAGTTTCCTGAGTGATAAGAGTATCTTCATTATTCATGCTGGCCCCTTGAAGCACAAATGAGTTTATGCTAATGAGGTATCTCAGGCTGGGGCCACTAAGTAATTTCAGGACTTGGGGTCAGGGGTTTGTGGGGATGGGGAGCGGCTGTCCATGCCCGAAAGATAAACTATCTGATTAAACGGTTGGGATTTTGAGCCAGGTTATATCAATCTCATGCGGGACTGGGTGGGGGACAGGGAGCTAGAGATTGAGTTCAGTCATGTGTCCAGTGATTTGGTTAATCGTGCCTACATTATGAGACCCCAGTAAAAACTGACCCTGGGGTCAGACAAGCTTCCCTGGTTGGTAATCATACACTGATGTGTCACAGGGTGATGTGTCCTGAGGACACAGAAGCTTCGTACTCTCCCAGACCTTGCTCTGTGCTCTCCATCTGGCTGGTCCTGATGTGTGCCCTCTACGTATAAAATTGTAGTCATAAGTATAGCCCCTTCCTGAGTTCTGTGAGTCATTTTAGCAAATTACCAGACCCCAGGGAGTCTTGGGGCTCTCATATTTGTAGCCAGTTGGTCAGTAGTGCAGATGGATGGTCTGAGCATCCTCCCCAAATTTGGGGCTAGCGAGAAGTGACCTTACTGAAGTGAGGGCAGTCTTATGAGGGATTGTCCTTAACCTGTGAAATTTGACCTAACTCTGGGTAATTAGTGTCAGAATTGCATTGTAAAATGGTCACAAAATGTCAGCTCCCCTAAACCTGAATTTAGGGTAAACTAATAAAAAAATTGATAAATTTGACTGTGGTGGTGCTAGTGTTTAGGTTTTTGTGTTTTTTTTTTCATTTAAAAAAACCAATTCATTTTTAATAACTGCTCACAACATACAGAAGTGGTCTTTATTGTTTTAAAGATCTCTATTACCCATGTTAAACTTTAATGATGGGTTAAATAATAATGAAACTTTTATTTAAATCAGCTGTAATACTTATACTCATCATTCTAGTGGATACAATGAAGTAGAAATAATATGTTTATAAGAATTATATTAAATAAATATATATTTGAAAAATAGGCATTTTAATGCTATCAAACTTAAGTATGAGCAATTATAATATCTATTAAATAATAGCAGTTAAACTAAAAAAAAATCAAAAGTACTTTTTAAAAGAGAAAACAGGCAGATGTCTTGCTGTGGTTGTGGATGTTCACGATCGGCTGCTTGAAAGCTTGGATCAAATGTGCCTGTGACCCTGGAACCCTGAGCCATCACAGGTTGCTCCTCCTCCTTCTTGGGGACCTGATGGTCCAGAGGACTTTTAGGGCTCTGTGGGCTGCACGTGGAACCACGGGTACAGAACGGCCACTGATATTTGTTGTGATCATTTTCTGAGCTCGTTGAGTGTTCTCTCGGTGGGCAGAGTTGCCATCCAACTTTCTTCAGCTCTCTTCTCATGGAAGGGGATCTTGTTCTGATAAACAAAGGTGGTTCTCTTCTCATTCTTTTTTCCATGTCTTCAGCCATCTTCTTGCAGAGGCTGTGCATCTGATACGTGTAGTTCGTGTTTCTATATACTTTGAGAGGTTTTTTCTGTATTTCTAAGCAGTGTTTTTCCTCCTCTATTGATTTTTCTCTGAGTTTTTTAATTCAAACCATCTGTTATTATTTTTTTTTTCCTGAACTCATTCTCTGTTGTTCTGTGATGATTTTAAGATGTTTCTTGCATCAGTCACTAGGGATTGGAAGGATTTTGTTGCATCCTCGGGTGACCCTGTCTGTCCTTGAAGACGAGCCTTTGTCGTCAGTCTGTGAGATGAAAGTTTACTGGGTTCGCTTTTCTGTCCTTTTTAGAGAAAGTCTACTGTGTCCTTCAAGTGAAGGCCTGTTCAGATTTTATGAAGTTTTGTCAGATACAGAGTTTGTAGCTTCAGAGGACTGGCCTCCATTACAGGTGACTTGAGTACTTCATTGGCTGGTGGCATTAGTCCAGACTTCTCACTGCCTTTTCAATGGACTGCAGCCGAGGCAGAACACCTTTTGTCTGTCTCTTTTCCCCATCTTGAAGTTTGTCGGCTCTTTAGTATTAACCACAGCGATACATAGCAGGATCTCCCAGGGAGACCCAAAGAGTCCTGGGATTTTCAGACATCACCAGCGGAGCATCCTGCTGCTCCAGGACCAGCTAGAGAGACATGTGGGTCCAGGACCAGATGGAGAAACATGTGGGTGGCAGAGAGCACATCCTCCATGGGTCCAAATGGCTCTGCAGCGCTGACTCTGATGGCCAGTGCACTGTGGACCACACTGACCTTGTGGAGGGTTCCATCTCTAACCAGACAAGAACCTGACAGCCAGGACAGACCATCACTTGGACTGGGGAGGGGAGGCCAGCCAGGTTCTAAAAAATAGTTCTCTGAGATTTTCCTCTACTCAGTGCACAAGTAGAAAGTGGCATTACCTATATAGTGTGTTTGGGGGAGCAGAAAGAGCTGATTGCAGCCAGGGATCAGCCTGGAACTTAGGCCACAATAAGCCCCACCTGGCCCTGCAGCAGTAAACCTAGAGGACCGGAGCAGTGCCATGCCTCACCCCTGCTCTGTACTGAAGCTCGCCCGGGCATTGTGTCAGGGTGCGGTTCAGTGGAAGGCGTCTCTGGCCGAGACTCATTCTCCTGATTTTAAGTTTGCTTCTGCCACAAGGAAGCCTGACCTTGCCTACATATGTCACAGGGCTTTCCCTCCTCTGCAGGCCCCCTGTCCCTGTTGTGTTTGGTCAATGCAGGCAGCAGGGGCAGAGGACTGAAGGGTCTCACCAGCAGCGTTGTGGAAGATACCTAGATTTCAATTGCAAGAACTCAGGAAAAGTTAACTGGAACTGGCCAGGTCTTAAAATTTCATGGATTTTCTGTGTAGCCACTTTGTCTTCATTCAATCCAAGAGTTCCTGGATGGGGCAGCTTTGCTTTGGGGTGACACAGTGACCCAGGCTCCTTCCCTCCTGTGGCCCTGCCATCTTCAGCTTGTGTTCCCCAAGGTCACCTTGGCTATAGCCTTCAATCACCAAGACATCTTTAGAGGTGTGCCTCTGGGGAGGGAGAGGGTTTTGCCTTTGGCTAAATTTGCCACTTTTGTTTCTTCAAGCCACATCTCACTCTCCTACCATCTCTCTGTCCAACTGAGGCACAGAGGCTGCTTGTCTGTAGTTTGGACTCTGCCTTAAGCGACTGTTCCCCAGTTCTTTTGTAAGGAAAACAGAACCACCCGCAGAGGCTAGTCTGAGGGTTCTGAGGGGTGTTGGGGTTCAGGCCACAGGGCCCCCCAGGGATGGGGAGAATAGAGACTCTGACCAGGCTTGGTGGTGAGGGGAAGAGGTGGCCAAACGCCTGAAGTGATCAAGTTTACAATTCATGTTTGTTTAAAAAGGAAATCGTCATTTAAAAGTTTATAATCCGTTTCTGAAAGTAAAGAATTCAGATATCATGAGGTGAAAGAGGGGCTCGAACGCTGTTAGGCAAAGACTCTTGAGTTGCAGGTGACGGGAACACAACACAAGCAACTTAAGGTGAAATGGGGAGCTTAGGTGAGGATATTGGGGTGGGGCTAGGGGCCGAGGGGAACCTCTGCAGGAGCCAGGACAGCCCTGGCACCTCCAGGGACCCACCACCCCCAGGAGTCCCTCTGCCTGTGTCCTGTCCCCAAGTAAGCAAAACGCCTCTGGACGTCAGTGGGTAGGTCCCCCCTCTCAGGTTTCTCCTCTGGCAGGAACTTGTGTGTTGGCATCTGTCCTCTAGGTTTTGAAAGTAGAGTTTTAAAAGGAGAAGTTTTTGAGTTGTAATCTGCTGGGCCCCAAAGAGTAGGGTTTTGTAACCTACTTAACCATTACAAAAAAAAAAAAAATGCTACTGCCAGTTCAAAGAAATGATGACTGGTTTCTTAGAAAAGCACGTGTTAAAACAAGCCAAAGAAACCTTTCTCACGGTTTTCTTTCTCTGTCCTTTTTCTAGTCACTCAAAATACAACATTGTGTCTGGTCCCGTCCTGTAATGACTGTTTTGGGGCCCCTTGTGAGCATTCCACATGGAGATCCATTTCACTTTCACAAGTGGAGAGCAAACTAACGAAATCTAGTTGGGCAATGCTGGTTTTCTCTTTTTTGTACTGGTACAGGCTTCTTTAAAGCCAACTTTTCTACTTAAGACCTTTGAGGGAAAGACATCTGAATTTCTTGGGGCTTGCTATTTGTTAAGAGCTGATTCTGAAGTCTGAGTTTCAGTAAACAGCATGCCACAGATTTTTCACACACACCCCCACCCCGAGTTACCATTTAATGAAGCAGAAAATATAGTCATACATTCTATAGACTTTGCTTTTTTTTTTAATTTTAGGTATATTTTTGTACAATGGGCATCCGATAAAACAGGTAGATGTCTTGGGAACAGTCATCGGAACAAGAGAAAAAGATGCTTTCTACAGTTATGGAGGTAAGAACAATTGTGTGTCTGAAATGGGGTTATGTAGGCGGTCCCAACTTGACCAAAAGCTGGATTTTAAGCCACCCAGCCTTTTAGAGCAGCTGGGGACCCTGCATAGCCCATGCACTTTCCTCTGTGGGGAGCCCCTTGGAGCCCCAGACGTGGACTGAACGTCAAATGAGGCAGCAAGTGGGAATGACACTGATGAATTTGGTGAAGTGATGGTTGCTGGGAGCTAGGAGGTGGAAGAATTAAAATACAGCCGTCTAGAATCACCCATGGACAGGACAGACACCTGATACCTGAGGGTATAGCTGTATATAGCAAAGGGTGGTAATATATGGTTATATGGATTGCTTTAAAAAGAAAAGGCCAATAAAGTGATGTAGTGGACATTGAAAACTAAGAAGGAGGAGGATCAAATGTGGTTGAGGTATTAAAATCTACCTATCTGGTACAATGTACACTATTCTGGTGATGGGTACACTAAAAGCTCTGACTTCAGCATTATACAATTCATCCATGTCACAAAAACACTTGTTACCCCCTAAATCTATTGAAATGGAAAAAAAAAAAGTTGGGAGTAATTTGAAAAACTCAAAAATAAAATAAAATGTAAAGACCAGATTAAGTAGACTTTAACAAAACAAAGAGGTATGAAAAATAATGTTTAAAGATTTATATCAAGGACAGTTTTTTGTTGTTGTTTTTTTTTTTAAAAGACCTTTTGGTACTCAAAGGGATAAATATCCATTATCAGAAAATTAATTCCCCTTCCTTCATGATCATGGAAACTAAATGAGAATTTCTGTCTTTTGGACACCAGAGGAATTGCTAGAATGTGATTTTAGTGTGATGGGTCTTGATTTTTTTCATCAAGTTGACTGTAAGCATTTTAATACATTGCCTTGTGCAACTCTGAAATTCTCTGTAGTTAAAAGGACAAACCAGATATTTTATGGGAAGCTTAACTTAACTTTGAATTCCAAGCCTTTGCTGGAATTGATATTATCACTTGTGGTTTTGCCTTGGATTTATATTCTTACTCTATTTGGGAAAAAATAGAAGGCGGTTGAACTTTGTGACCAAGAACAAATTGTTGGCAGTCCCCACGATAATTGATAGATACAATGTCATTGCCTTTCTTCAACATATATTCACCTTCCTGAAGATGATTGTCTTGTGCTTATAAAATAACATGTGAGAGATGAGATCTTTCCTGCCTTCTGCTTTTTCCTAGCATTTTTTTTTTAAACTCTGAAATAGATTGTCTTGTCAGGCATTCCCAAACTGAGTCTCTGCTTTATTTTTCCAAAGATATTGGGCCTGTTTTTCTCCAGACAACTCGACAAACATTTGCTCAGTTTCTACAGTGTACCCAGCTGTGGGAAAGTACATTGTCTGTAGTATAAAAAAATGATTCTTCTCCAAACACCAATGATGAAATAATAGTGCCTTTCAATTTACAAAGCACCTATACATGCATTATGTCATATTATTCTTTCCCTAATCATTCGAAATAGAAAGGACTGATATTATTTCTGCTTTGTAGATGAGAAAACTAAGGCTCATTCATTTGCTCAAGGTTTAACTGATAGAGGTTTGTGGGTCCAGTGTACCATTTACTGACTCCAGTGTGTTCTGTAGTCTTGTATAACTCTATCTGATTTTTCTCTCCCCTTCTTTCCTACCCCCAACTCCCATCAAAACAAAAACAAAAGTCAACTGAGTCTGGTGTTTAGTTTTCTGTTTTTCAGATCAAATAAATGAGGCTGTTTGAGGCCTGTAGTCCTGGCCCTAAAACCACGATAGATATTAGGTGTGTGACGTAAAGAGACTTCAGTTAACTCTTTCCCATTATGAAAAGATTAAGGTGATTTGTTTGACTCTTTCCCAATAAGCTTTTCTCTCTAAGTGGGTGTCTGAGTATGACATATCTGGGGGCTAGGGGAAGATGAAAAGCATCTGAACATTGAGGTAATGGAGAGTAGAAATACTTTTGCGACTTCGGTTCTTGGGAGAGCTGCCTCTCTCCCTGCTGTCCTAGAGCCCGGCTTGGCTCTCGGCCACCTACCAGGTGGCCCCTCCCTGCTACTCCAGGTCCTGCTTCCCCTGACTCACCAGGGGCCTGTTCTAGGGGTGCTTCCTGCTCACATTGACTCATCCCAGGGCCGAAACAAAAGGCCAGTGGCTCAGGCAGTGCTGCCCAGCCTGGGAGGATGTTGTGCAGCGCTCCAAGGATGCTTCTCTTCTGGGGCATTCCAGCAGCTAGCCCCTCAGGGCGCCACGGCCTGAGGGCTGCTGAGAGAGGTCAAACCTGGAAAGTCAGAGGAGTTGGTGGCAGTGTCTGGAGTGTACAGAACACCTGGTAACAACTCGAGCTCAGACCTGTCTTGGGAGGTTACAGTCAAGACCAGAATGACCTCACATTTTCTAGAATGAGTGTTCATATGCTAATTTTTTTTACTTTCTATCATAAGTCAAGGTCTTCAACTGGCCAGAGAAATGGTGTGTCTAGAAGTGTTATACACTTTTAAACTCAAAACGTCCTTATTGATTTGTTTTGCTTCTTTAAATGATACTCATTAGAAAAAATATAAGCTAGAGAAATTTTAATGAAGTACATAAAAGTCATGTGAAACACTATAAATCAGGCAAAACCAATATCAGTGTGTAGGTTAGCATTCTTCCTAATATTTCCAACATGTTGATAATATTGAAGAAGTATAGGAATGCTTTATTTCCTTAGTACTTTTATGCATATTTCTTTCTCTTCTTAAAGTTTGTGAAAATAGGCTTACATTGAATATAGAGTTCCTTCCCCAAACTCCAAAAGAAGCTTCTGTTAGCATTTAATGTCTTAAAACCATTTCTGTCAAATATACTGTTTAATGTTTTATATATATTGGATTATATGTAAGATTATATATAAAATTTCTGTTTTACAGTGAGGCATGCATATCTTTTAACAGCAGTGAACATAAATCTTCATTATAAGTTTTTATTCTCATATAGTATGTCATTGTAACTTACTAACCAATTCCATATTTATAAACATTTAAGTATTTCCAATTTGCAGTATCATGAATAATACTACAGTGAACAGGCTTATTTAAGATGTATATATCTATGTACTTGTTCCATTTCTCTCAGGATAAATTAATGGAAGTAATTGCTAAGTCAAATGATATATACATTTCAAAAAAAATTTTTTTAAGAGATGGGGTCTTACTTATTGCCCTGGCTGGAGTGCAGTGGTTATTTACAGGTACGATCAGAGTGCACTATAGCCTCTGGGCTCAAGTGAACCTCCTGCCTCAGCCTCCAGAGTACCTGGAGAGCAGGCGTGTGCCATTGTGCCCAACGTACATTGTTTAGCAATGCCTGGAACATAGTAAGTACTCAATAAATGGGCATGGTCATTAGTGTTCTTGTTATTCCTGATGAATCCAATTGATTTTGCATATAAGAAGGAGGTTTGGAAGAGCTGACTTCTTTTGACAGGGTCTGGGCTAGAGTGCAGTGGTGTCATCATAGCTCACTGCAGCCTCAAACTCCTGGGCTCAAGCAATCCTCCTGCCTCAGCCTCCCAAGTAGCTGCGATTCCAGGTGCATGCCACCACACCCAGCTTTTTTTTTTTTTTTTTTTTAATGTAAAGACAGACTATTGCTTTGTTGCCCAGGTTGGTCTCAAACTCCTGGCCTCAAGTGATCCTCCTGCCTCGGCCTCCCAAAGTACTAGGATTATAGGCGTGAGTCACCAGGCTCAGCCATTTTTTTCTTATTAATTTATATGAGCTCTCTCTGTATTAAGGCACTAAGGCTACCATTTGGAAAATTACTGTCCAGTATTATTTTTTAGGTAGTCAAGTATATCAGACTTTTTTTCTAATGAGTTGTGATTTTCAGGTTCTGTTTAAAGAAGTCTGTCCCCACCAACTATAAGCCCAAGGTTAAAAGTATTTTATCCATGTCTTCTTAGTTTACCTTTTTTATATTTAATGAAATGAAACCCATCTAGGCTTTATTTTTGCATAAGAAATATTCTTTTTGGCGTTCTTTCAACACATATTTAAGCCAGCAACAAAAAATTTTTGCCTTATATTTCTTCTATATTATGTGTGCTTTTACAACAGTCTGGTTGATAATTTTTTTTTAATTATGAGGCCTACTGACCTAACACTTAGCAACCTCTATTCTGAGTTTGTTAGAAATTAGGCAAAGAAAATATGCCCATTATCCCCTAGCAACCATCTCCAAATTCTTCTATAATTATAAATCCAAGTTCAGTGGGAATTGTTTGATTTTTTTTTTTTTTTTTTACTCTAGGAATGAAATTAGCCAGACCAGTATTGTTTTTGTTGCCAGGGAATAATTATTTTCTATTATAAAAATAAAATGGCGCCCTTCTGTGATGTGCTTGGCTTTCCTTACATCCCCTGCAGTGGGGAGGACGGGCAGAAGCTCTTCCACAAAGAGAAGCCCAGGCCAGATGACTTGGAATGCTCTGTTTTGTTAAGTCAGCACAATAGCAAAGAGAAATGGTGACAGAAGGCTGTCCTCTGAGTGCCTGTGCCTCTAACCACAGACCATGTGATGCCTTCTTATTTTAGTGTGGGAGGGAAAGGCTGATTTTTTTATGTGAGCCATCATTGAGATTTTTGCACTTAACTTCCTGAGGACATCATTTTTAATATAGAGTCGTAGACAAGAATCATCGGTAGCCTTAAGGTATCGTAAGTAAAATGCTGAATACATCCCATTGGACTTGTGTATTATTACACCGACTTGTGCAGGCAAGCAGTTCATACTAGGGTATGGTGAGAGGTTGTTTCTAAAGGTGGAAGGAGAGTTTGATAAGGGATTTGCCCCTCCAGGCCATTGAGAAATGTCATCTTTCAGGATTGAGAAAAGTCATCTCTGGATGGCTAAATGTAGTGACAACATGCTAATTTACCAGCCATGCCCAAATTTCTGTTCTGCCCTTCTGCACTTCTCTTGCAGTGGATGATGGCACTGGAGTTATAAACTGCATCTGCTGGAAAAAGTTGAGCAATACCGAAGAGTCTTCATCAGGTAATTTTATTTGCCATGTTCCTTTACTTTTTTAGCTAATCAATGGATTTTGTTCAAAGTAGCTCATCAAAACAGCTGTAGGGCTAAATTTTCGCCTGTATCCACTGGTGAATTACATTGATCCACTCGAAGCACTGTACCCATGTGCTCAGAGCAGTGCTGCTCGGAAGACTGGGACCCTGGGGGAACCAGGGGATCTTCCTTCTCCCATCTCTTTGGTGCTTATTTCCCGCTAAGCCTTCAGGAATGTGTGCAGGTTACTGGGAGTTTGAGCGGTTCACTTTTACCATACCAGTTATTATGTAAGTCAAGATGTTTTAGCCTAATTACCTGTCAGGTCTGAGTCCGTTGCTCTGGCCGTATCACTTGACCAAAGAAGATTCTGAAGACTGTTTCTCCCTGCCATTGTAATACAGTAGCAGCCATAGATGGTACATAATCAAGTGGGTGTGGCTGCATTCCAGTAAAACTTTATTTACAATAATAGGGTACAGCTGGATTAAGCCTGTGGGCTGTAGTTTGCACACCTCTGTTTTAGACATTGTTTTAGTTTTAAAAATTAACTATTTTTTAAGAAATGGCAGCATTAGAAATATTATATAAGTCCTATACTTAGTAATTTTTTAGATCACCAAAATGCCTGTTAATACTGAGTGAGGGCCAGGCGCGGTGGCTCACGCCTGTAATCCCTGCACTCTGGGAGGCTGAGGCGGGCAGATTGCTCAAGGTCAGGAGTTCGAAACCAGCCTGAGCAAGAGCGAGACCCCATCTCTACTATAAATAGAAAGAAATTAATTGGCCAACTAATCTATATAGAAAAATCAGCCGGGCATGGTAGCGCATGCCTGTAGTCCCAGCTACTTGGGAGGCTGAAGCAGTAGGATTGCTTGAGCCCAGAAGTTTGAGGTTGCTGTGTGCTAGGCTGACGCCACGGCACTCACTCTAGCCTGGGCAACAAAGCGAGACTCTGTCTCAAAAAAAAAAAAAAAAAAATACTGAGTGAGATTTTTTAAATATCAGTAAGGAGATAAATAAATGAACAATCGCAGTGGGTAGACTTCATTCACAATTGCTTTGCAAATACAAAGAGAGTATAAGAGGACAAGGAGAAAGCCTAAAAATTATTCTCAAAATGTTACATGTGAAGTGATGTTTTTAAATTGTTCCCAAATAGCCCATTCTCTCCTTTTAATTTAATTGCCCTCAGTTTAAAAGCTTTCCATTGGAAAGTGGCCAATGGAGACTAGTTTTTTTAAACAAAATTTAATCTGGGTCAAAATCATGTTCCAGTCAGTGAAAGTATAAAAATATAATATTAACTCCCATAAATGTCACATTGAATGTACCATTTGGACTTAGCTTATGAGCAAAGTTTAAAAAGCCTGGCCCTTAATATTAGAATTTAAAGGAGGTTTATCTTTCATGATGGAATAGACTACTTAAAGTGAAGTTCTGTCAAGCTCCAGCCATCTCATTATATTCATTAAATTACACAGCTTGAGCCTTCGTTCAGCAATTTGGCTCACCCTTTAAATGAAAGCCAGACCTCTTTTCCTCAGACCAACCATCAGTCTGATCATTTCAGTGGTGCTATATGAAGCATTTATTATCACCTATAAATGTATGCATGATGGCAGTGAAATTTATAAATACCTTTAAAATTCAGCCTACATCGAAGAGGACCTGGAGATAGGAACACAGAACAGCCTTTTAAAAAATAGTACTTGGGGATTTTTCTGTCTGTCTTTTGTGGGTTTTTTTGAGACAGTCTTGCTCTGTTGCTCTGGCTAGAGTCCTGTGGTGTCATCACAGCTCACTGCGACCTCAAACTTCTGAGCTTGAGCGATCCTCCTGTCTCAGCCTCCCAAGTAGCTGGGACTACAGGTGAGCACCACCACACCCAGCTAATTTTTTCTGTTTTTTTGTAGAGATGGGATCTTGCCCTTGCTCAGGCCGGTCTTGAACTGGCTTCAAGCAATCCTCCTGCTTTGGCCTCCCAGAGTGCTAGGATTATAGGTATGAGCCACTGCACCCAGCCAGTGCTTGGGGATTTTCTGAGAAACCCAGTAAGCTGAGCAGTGTTAATGCTGATTGTTCTTGGGTATTCCTAGGTATTGGTCACTGCATACACAAAGTTCTCTGTGCTCCCTACATTGCTGTACCCTTGGTTTAGTAGATGTATTAAAAGAAAATGCCTCTGCAGATTACAAAGCCATGGTTACCAAAGTTATACTAGGTTAATTTTGATTATGGGTTTACCCATAAAATAATAACAGAGAATAGATCATCTTATATAAAAATATATAGCCTCTCCTACAATTTAAAAGCAAAATAAAATGTATGGAATCATTATATATTTGTTAAGGTATTGAAAATCCAACAGCTACTCAGGAGGCCGAGATGAGAGGATCACTGAGGCCAGAAGTTCAAGACCAACCTGAGCAATATAGCAAGACCCTGCCTCTAAAAAAAAATTTATTAAAAATTACCCAGGTGTGGTGGTGTGCACCATTAGTCCCAGCTACTCACAAAGCTGAGGTAGGAGGATTGCTTGATCCCAGGAGTTCAAGGTTGCAGTGAGCTATGATCACATCACTGCATTCCAGCCTGAATGACAGAGCAGGACTCTGTCTCTAAAAAAAACAAAACAAAACCAAGTATAGAAGCTGTGAGCATGCATGCATTGCTGAGGACATCATGTAAAAACAGAGGGTTGATGATTTTTTTCTGGCAAATGTTCTGACAATATGTAATGAACTTTAAACCAGTTTATACTGTTTTATCTAGTAATCCCTAATGAAAGACCCCAAAGAAAACAAGATAATTTTGTCTTGAAAGCTTAATCCTTCATTATCATAAATATCTTACATTATTGAGTATTTTCTATGGCTCTGAAACTATGGACAGCACATAATATAAGGGTTAAATTAGATCATGCACAACAACTCTATGTATGAGGTTAAACTCTACTATCATCCCCATTTCATAATTGAGGAAAATGAGGCATAAGAGTAGAAGGGAAACTGAGGCACAGTGAGGTTAAGCAGCCTGCCCAAGTTCACACATCTAGTAAGAAAGAGGTAAACTGAGATTCAAGACAGGTCTTTCTGACCCTGGTAGCCAAATGCTCACCTCTAAGCTGTACTGCCCACATACAGTGCTAGTGGTAAAAATCAAATTAAAAAATTGTTAAAAGGGGAGGAAAGATTTAGTGAGACTAGCTAACAAGCTGTGGCATGTTAACAAGACTGAACATTATATTGTTATTTAAAATGTGAGTTGTGTAGATTCTGTGGATACATGTGTGTATTTAAAATGATTCTAGGCAGAAAAACAGAACACAAAATCTTTTACACCCACCAGCTGTAACTGGAAAATGTGAATATCTCCGGGGGCAGGCAGGGGAGAATAAAGGGTAAGCAGGAACGCTCTGAAGCTAGTGGCTTCCTGGGTTCAAGCGCCAGCTCGTCACTAACTAGCTATTTTACTTTGGGCAAGTTGCTTGCCCTCTTTGACTTCGCTTCCTCCTCTCTAAAATGGGGCTAATAATAAACAGGAGTGGTTGTGAGCATTAGACCTGCTGATACATTGTACAGTCCATAGAATAGTAGAACAGCACCTGTAGTACCCAGACCTTCGTGCCTATGCTTATGTGATACAATTCAGAAGTAAAATTCAGTGATAGAAATTACAGTTGAATATGTAATGGCTTCTTTTCACCACGAAGTTGCTTAAGTGTATAGTTTTAGATGGTATGAGAGTAAGAGAAAGAGAGAATGTGTGTGTGTGTGTGTGTGTGTGTGTGTGCGCGCACGCGTGTGTGGTAAGAGAGAGAGATTAGCCTAGTTGCCCAGCAGGAGAAGTGAGAGATTAGAATGTTGATCACCTAGGTGGGACAAGTCTTTGTTGAAGACACATGGAGGCCGGGCTTGGTGGCTCACGCCTTTAATCCTAGCACTCTGGGAGGCCAATGCAGGCGGATTGCTCAAGGTCAGGAGTTTGAAACCAGCCTGAGCAAGAGCGAGACCCCATCTCTACTAAAAATAGAAAGAAATTAATTAGCCAACTAAAAATATAGAAAAAATTAGCCGGGCATGGTGGCATGTGCCTGTAGCCCCAGCGACTCGGGAGGCTGAGGCAGGAGGATCGCTTGAGCCCAGGAGTTTAAGCTAGGCTGACGCCACAGCACTCTAGCCCGGGCAACAGAGCAAGACTCTGTCTTAAAAAAAAAAAAAAAAAAAACAAGGACACATGAAAGGGTTGTTTAGAGCTATTGCCACTGTGCCTGGCTGCACTCTGTACAGAATTCAGCTTTGGGCCATGTGGAGCCCTTTGCACTGACGGTGCAGGGGCCAGAAAGAAGGTGCCGGAGTCGCACTGGAACTCGCCCACTGGGCCTCCACCCAGACTCTGTTCCCTGCACTCTGCTCTTGAATAATTACAGCTTATACCGCTTGCTCAGCAGAGGACTTCCCAAGGTTATGTGGATTTCCTACAGTGGAGCAACTAATCAGAAGTAGAATAAATAAACGTATTGTGTTGGTCTTACCCTAAAACCATGTCACAAATGTGGTAGAGGAGATTGTGTTATAAATTTCTTTACTTCTGGCTCTAAACAGCTACAGCTGCTCCAAGTGCAGCAGAAGAGCAGAGCTTAACCTCAAAACTTAAGAAGCTACAAGAGGCCATTGAACAGAGAACAAAGTTAGAAATTGGGGATATTGTCCGAATCAGAGGCTACATCCGCACGTACAGGGAAGAGCGAGAAATTCATGCCACCGCTTATTGTAAGTGTGAAAGATTTTGACCACATTGGTCGTTATTCTGGGTGTGTGTCTAGTAAACTCTTATTCAGCTAAAAGTCAGACTTAGAAAAAGTTCAAATAAGATTTAACTCTATTTAATGGAGGAAATAATATTGTGTAACATGCTTTCTTTAGAAAAGCAGCATATCTTAATTTTGTAAAGAAGTAATTATAAATTGGGAAAGAAAATGAATCATTTACTATATCTAGTTAGTAAGTTTATTTGGACAACATAGTAGTTTCCAAAGTACTTTGAAGGTCTAAGTGTTAATCCATTAGGGCAGAGTATTCATATTCTTCAAAATGATGGAAATTTCTTGAACACCATTGAGTCTGTTGACTTTAAATGAAAACAGCTATATGACAGTCCTCCATCATCTTCTCTTTGTGCTGTGCTGGCTGGTTTTCAGTTGAACGTCTTAAGGACAGGGGCTGTCCACCAGAGGAACAGAGGAATGATACACTTATGTCCAGTCCCAGCCGACACCCTGGCCAAGCCTGTGGCACTTGGGGCATTGCATTCCCTCTTGCAGGATGCCTTGGTGACCCCTGGGCACCCATGAGAAAGGAGGCCCACCTAGTGCCTCGTTTACTGTTGTTCTGCTGGCACTTTGGACATGGAGAAGAACTGATCTCAGTGTCATTGCTGTGACATCTTTTTTCTGATGCTTGTTAGATAAAGTGGATGATCCAATGTGGAACATTCAAGTTGCAAGGATGCTTGAGCTGCCCTCCATCTATAGGAAAGTTTATGACCAGCCTTTCTGCAGCCCAGCCCTAGAGAAAGAAGAGGCACTGAGGTAAGCTGTGTCTTGTCACTGCCGATAACATAGCCAAGCAGTGGGAGCCCACATGCTCGGGTCAGCCTGGGTTCAAATCCTGAGTTGTCCGCTTCTTGCTGTGGGGCTCTGGGCAAGTGCTCTAACCCTCTGTATGCTTTAGTTTCCTTATCTGCAAAGATCATAGTACACATGTTCTAGGGTTATTGTGAGGAAAATATATGTGCAGTTAGAGTCACCAAAGGAGTAGAGGTGCGAGCAGAGAAAAACACTTCGAAGAAATAATAGCCGACATTTTTCCAAGTTGATAAAAACTGTAAACTCTCACGCCTGTAATCCTAGCACTCTGGGAGGCTGAGGCAGGAGGATTGCTTGAGCTCAGGAGTTTGAGACCAGCCTGAGCAAGAGTGAGACCTGTCTCTACTATAAATAGAAAGAAATTAGCCAAACAACTAAAAATAGAAAAAAATTAGCTGGGCATGGTGGCGCATGCCTGTAGTCCCAGTTACTTGGGAGGCTGAGGCAGGAGGATAGCTTGAGCCTAGGAGTTTGAGGTTGCTGTAAGCTAGGCTGATGCCATGGCACTCTAGCCTGGGCAACAGAGTGAGACTCTGTCTCAAAAAGAAAAACAAAACTATAAACTCACAGATCCATGAAACTCAACAAACCCCAAGGCAAGAAAGCTGAAGAAAACTGCAGCAAGGCACATCCTAATCGAAATGTTATACCATAGCACATTGTAACCAAAAGCCTATAAGAAAAGCTAGACCAGCCATTCCCAACCAGGGAGGACTAGGAGGAATTAGAATATGTGCGTATTTATATGCATTATATGCTAATATATGCACAGAAGAACTCTGAGAGGAGCCAGAGAGAACCAGAAACAGCAGCTCTCTGGGGGTGGGAACTGAGAGGTAGGATGGGAGTAAGATAAAAGGGCTTTTCACTGTGTACTCTTTAATGTTTTTTAACATGTGAATATATTGCATATTCAAAAAAGTATATTAAAGTAAAACTATAGACCTGTATAAAATAAAAAGTGAAAATTCTCCATTTTCCCATCTCCCACATCAGTTCCATTCCCCAGAGGTTACCACTGTTCCTAGTCTGATGTGTATTCTTTTAGATCTGTGCTTACATAAGCATGAATATTCACACATATATTTTGCAGGTTGTCATTTGCTTTTATACAAAAATGGGACCATACCTTACATACTATTCTACAGCTTGACTTTTTTTTTTAATCTATCATGCATAGCTCTGTTAGTTCCTATCGTTCCACTTCATAATTTTAAATAACTGCACAATGTTCACTGTATGAATTACTCTTTATGTCAAAAACGAGCAGCAATATAGTGTTGCATTTTCTACCTAACTTCCTGTTTTCTGCACACCAAAAAGGAGCAAAGGTGACAGTTTTCTGTGGGGCTTTTTTCTCCCCAGCAGCAATCCAGAGGGCCTGGACCTTGCCAGTCTCACGAGCTTGCTAAGTGAAAAAGCTAAAGAATTCCTCATGGAGAACAAAGTACAGACCTTTTACCAGCAGGAGCTGGAGATAGTGGAATCTTTGCTGTCTGTTGCCAATCAGCCTGTGATTCACAGCGACAGCTCCGACCAAGTGAGTGCAGCCTGCCCATGTGGGAATTCCATTCCGTCTCCCAAGTCTGCAGTTAGGCATTAGGACTAACAGGGTGGGCCAGGGAACAGAGATGATGGTTCTATCACAGTTTGTTTCTATTCTAGAAAGAAACAACTGACCACCAAGAACTTGAAATAAGACTGGACCTGCCCTTTCCCCCCTCCTTACTGAATCTCATTACACTTAATCTTCAAATAGAAAATATTAATAGTCTAAGGTTTACAGTACTTAGCTGTTAATACTCACTGAAATGTGTATTTAATCTCAGCAGAAGCCAAGTGAGGGAGCAGGGAGATAATTATCCATCCAAGATGATTTATTGATCAGCAAGATCTTTAACCTGAACCATGGTTTTTAATGACTTGCTCTCCCTTTTTCAGAATAAGGTTAACCTATTGTGTTTTTGGAGTTAAATAAAGACCAAGTTGTATTCTAGTTTATCCATAAAATTTCAAGAACATTTAAGTAATTTTTTATTCTTCTTGAAAAGCGTTGCCTCCATATTTTTTATTCCTAATGTTGTAGATGAACTTGTTTGGTTGCTTGGTGTTTATTTATTGCTTGGAATTAAGAATTATTTGCCCTATATAAGCATGAGGTCTAGCAAAAAAAAAAAAAAAAAAGAATTGTTTGAGACTTTGGTTTTAGGCTTTCCCTTTCATTACAGTTCTTAGGTTTGTTGGTGTTGTAACAATGTTTATTTATTTCTCTTTCTTTTCTTTACCCTGCCATGGAGTGATCTCAGTTTAAGTGTCACCTTCTTGCCCTCCCTTGCCATTTGCTCTGATCACCACTTGGTCCCTGACTCTTATACCTGTTTCCGTATCTGTGAATATCACTGGTATTTATTTGTTTTCCCGCCTGTTCCTCAACCAGAATTTAAGTTCTGTGTCTCTCTTGTTCTTTGCTCTCCACTCAGTGGCTAGAACAGGTTCTCAGTAATTATTTGTTGATTGAAGGAATGAGTGGGTTTTCTAAAAATTCAAATGGTCCCAGAAAGCATATAGTTAAAAGGAATATTCCTTCCCATCCTCTCTCCTGCTTCCTTGTCCCAGAGACAAACACCATTACTAGTCTCTTGAATATTCTTCTGGATATAGTTTGTGCAGCTATAAACTCTAAGTAGTTGTAGCCCTTTCTTTTTTACACAGATGGTAGCATGTTGTGGTTTTCTATGAGGGCTAGCTTTTCAGTGATCAGCATGTCTTATAGATCCTTTCCTGGCAGTACATAGATTTGCCACTACAGTCTCTTGTGACATGTACCCCTTACGGTACATGTCAAAATAGTAAATACATTACTATTTAACCAGTCTCTCCATTCCTGGACTGTTCACATGTTTTCTAGTCTCTTGCCATTACCAACAGGGCTGCTGTGAATGTCCTTGCTAGGTAACATAAGTTGTTCATGATTCTATTGGAAGAGATACCAGGTCACCCTCCTGACCTCCTAGGCACGGCCACTGCGTCTCAGTTTTGTTTGTGCACTTAATTATCTCTTTTGGGCAACAGGCTGATGTGCCCAGTGACCCATGATTTCATATGGGGAGAACAGGGATATAATTTCAGAAAACACTGAGGTGGAAAGGGTCATGACTGGCTGCTTTATTCTTTGCCAAGGTTGCTTCTAAACAGTTGCAGCTCTCCAACTGTCTGCTGACAGCAAGATTGACCTTTCCACTTAATCATTTAGAGGAGGCTCAAAGCCAAATTGACCTCCTAGGACTTCTGATGACTCTATCAGCATGTTTGGAAGGAAATTTAAAGCTTAGTGAATACCACATTCTTCACATGAAGCCAGCTCTTCTGTGATAGCTATAATTAAGTGAGAGAGAGAGACTTAAGGACTCTGAGGACTAAAAGGCTCCTGCATTCAGAATGACCTGTGGGAAACTTTTGGTGCAATAGCTTTTTGAAAATGCTTAGAGCAGAAACTTGTGTGTGCCCAGTGCTGCATGTTTAATAAGAAATGACTATGGCACTATATTTGCTGTCTTTGGAAACTTTTTTCCATCAATTATGAATTAGTCCCTCACGTTGCTCTAGTTGGGGAGGTCAGTGTCATTAAATTGAATTCAGTTTAATAGAGGCCTGGGAGACTAAAGATGCTTCACAAAGATGGTGAAACCCTAGATCCTTTGGCACTTTCTGTTGTCACACAGATGAAAGCTTAACAAAAAAATCATTGTGATGGCGTAATAGTTTAGAGGCAGAGAGAGAGCAGGCTTCAATGTTTCCTCCTTTCTTTTTTCTTTTTTTTTTTTTTCATAGTGGCTCTTCTTAGCAAATCCAGAAACATGATAAGCAGGTCTTGCAAAACCATTGTTTCTCTGACAGCTGGATGAATGTTGAGTTTGTTTGCGAGTGAGGACTATATATATTTCAGGATCCACCCAGTTCCTGACCTGAGACAGGAGAGGCTTGGTAAGGCTCGGCGTGTTCAGCCAGTGGCGGTTTTTGTCTGTGAGCAATTTCGGTTTCCTAAATCTGATGAGTCTGTCATTGCTGTTTTGAAAAAGACAAGAAAGACACAGATCCCTGTCCAGGAGAAGCTGCTGGGAGGAAGAGACTTGAGGCTTTATTTACCCTTGAGACTGTGGTCTTCAGAACCAGGCCAGGGAAACATGTCCCCGGGTCAGCTGAGGCAAATGTTTTTGGAAAGGAAGCTTCACATGTTGTTTATATTTACAGGGTGCCATTTCTGTGGAGTCCTTCTTGTTCACAGCTGAAACTTTTTAATCTCCCAGGCCCGGCATTCTCTCTTCCTGCTACTGATCTTACTGAAGTCCGGAAGGAACCAGGCTCTGTATGGTCTGGGGATAACCATTATTTTTAATGACAGGAATAATCATGTCATAATCATTTCTAGTTAGTTTCCAGTGTATTTCTGTCTTGCTCAGAGATATAATAAACCTGACCCTTAGAATCCTCATGTTAAATTGACTAAAGAAGATAGATCTCCTTAGAATTATAAAGATTAAGTGGTGGTAGAGGTCTGTGCATGAATCTCTTTCAGGTCGATTGAGAGTCCCCTAAGTAAGAGCACTCATGTATGAAATTAAAAGCAGCTTTGCCCTAAGCCCCCATGAATAACAAGAAATGCGGCTGAAGATTGCTAGGTGAGGTGTTTATTTTAAACACACCCGGATAGTTTTTCTGCCCGTGGGAGTTGTCAAATATTTCTCAGCCTTATTCTCCCTTCAGAAAATGGATGCTGTCATATCCTGGAATGTTTGCCCATTTTAAAGCCCTAATGTCCTAATGACCAGGTTCTCCAGCTTATTCTGTTAAGGAAAAACCTTAAACTATTAAGTTAGTTAAAAGTGTTAGACTATCATCTTTAGCCCAGGAGAGCACGTTTGTGAAACATCACCAGCATCTATTAGATTAACAAAACGGCTATTTGGAAGGCCTCTTCTAGGAAGAGAAGGTTTCTTTAGGGATGGAATTGGCAGCATTTGAGACCATTTGGAGGTTCTTTCCTTTCCTTGTCACCTTGAGGAAATGTCATCAGCATATCTCAGCCACACTTTCTTTTTCAGCATCAATGGATATTGCCCCAGATGGCCTTTGTAAGTACCTTTCATTAGAGGTAGGCCTTTGCCTTAAAACACTTTTTGGGAAAGTTGGCCACATTTGTTTGGAGCTCTGATGTTTTTAATATCTTGATAAATTTCTATCCTATTAAAAATGGATCTGTACCTTGAAGGACAGTTGTTGTTCACCATTTTCTTTGTTTTGAGAATGAATAGAAAATGCCCAGTGGACTAATAAGAAGGATACAGCCTCTCTAGTGAGATACTTGTTCCACTCATCTCACAGGTACTTTATTGGTCACCTGATGTGTGCCAGGGAGTGGGTGGCTGAGATGTAGTACAAAGTCCCCAACTCAAGAAGCACACTATCCAGTTAACCGAGGTGGGACATAAGTGATAGCCTAGCTTCCTTGGGAATAAAACGTAGGGTGACCTGGTAGCCTCTATAGGCAAACCTATCTCTTAGAGAAGGGAAGAAATATTGAAAGTGAGGAGATGGAGAGCTGACAGTAGCCGAGGTCCCTTCCAGGTGGGTTCTTGCCTCACTGGAGGGCCCATCTCCACCTTCAGCCTGGTGGACCCCACAATAGGTCTCTGCACAGCTGTTTGCCTCCACAGCCCTCCACTTAAAATAAAGAGACTGTTTAATACTTATGTGCCAGAATCCCCAAATTGTTTCAGTATGTGTAAATATCCTTGAAGTCCCTAGGAAGAGATTACGCATAGCCATAGTTTTAATGGAGAAAGGGGCTAATATGTATACAATATGTTGGTTCTGTATAAAACGTAAGTCAAAGATTGTCCAACAGCGAGAGTAGCCTTTTGATTCTCTGCTACCTATTATTGAATTAGACAAAAAAGCACAACTAAAATGTGAAACAGTTAAGGAGCATGAGCCTGCCAGAGCATACTTTTCAGTCCTCCAAGATACATCCTGCTAGGCTGGTACATTTCTCCATCGTCTTGACTCAGCAGATAAAAAGCCTGTTGGGCAAATTCATGAACCAGTTGGTCTAGGGAGTTGTTTTCAGATGCTATTAGTTGGGACTTACATCTTTTCTTCTTTTTTTTCTTTTTCCTCTTTACACAGGCAGATAAGAAGGACACCACTTCCAAGGCGATTCATAGTATATTTAAGAATGCTATACAGCTGCTGCAGGATAAAGGACTCGTTTTCCAGAAAGATGGTGGTTTTGAGAACCTGTACTATGTAAGAGACCTGCAACTTAATTTTTCTCCTTCATAGCTTCAATTATAAATATACTTATGGGGTTAGGCGCAGTGGCTCAGCTCTGTAATCCCAGCACTTTGGAAGGCCAAAGGAGGAAGATTGCTTGAGGCTGGGGGAGTTCGAGACAAATATATTTATTACTTACAAATAACCACTTACTGCTTTTAAAACTTACTAAGAGGTATAAAGTCAGAAGTGAAAGTTGGCCATTATCTCTCCCCAAGGTACCTCTTTTAACAATATAGTTGACCCTTGAACAACACAGGTTTGAACCGTGTAGGTCCATTGCTTATATGTGGATGTTTTTCAACCAAATACGAGCATGTGAAACCTACATATTAGGAGGGCTGGCTTTTCATATACTTGGGTTCTGCAGGGCAGACTGTATGCACAGGTTTTGGTATAAGCTGGTGGTCCTGGGTCCAACTCCTGCATTTACTGAGGGACAACTGTATATCCTTCTAGACGTTTATCTGTATGTTTACAAATGCATACATATAAACATGTGCTCCTGTGGCTTTTTTGTTTTATAATAAGTGTGACCATCTTGTAAATCAGTATTTCTCAACCTCAGCACTATTTGGGCAAGATGATTGATTGTTATGGGCACTGTGCTGTGCATCGTAGGATATTTAGCAGCATCCCTGACCCTCACCCACTAGATGCCAGTAGCTCCCCAGTTGTCACAACCAAAAATGTGTCCAGACATTGCCAGATGTCCCCAGGACAGTTGGAAACTGCTACTCTAATGCTCAGTGACTTTTTTGGTACCAAAATAGTACATTATAGGCACCTTTCTACGTTAGTACTTAGAAATCTACGACATTCCTTTTAACATCCTCATGGCATTCCATATTATGGGTACTTGCTATCAATTTTTTAGCCGTTCCTTTGTGATGGACATTTACTGTGTTTCCAACTTTTGCCTTCACAGATAGTGTTGCTAGGGCTATTTTTACACAACTATCTTTGTGAACTTATGTCAGTATTTCTTAAGATTGACTCTTAAGACTGGCCACAGTGGCTCACGGCTGTAATCCTAGCACTTTGAGAGGCTGAAGTAGGAGGAGCCACTTGAGGCCAGGAGTTTGAGACCAACCTAGGCAATGTAGTAAGAGCCTGTCTCTACAAAAAAAAATGGAAAAATTATCCAGGTGTGGTTTCATGCACTTGTAGTCCCAGCTACTTAGGAGGCTGAGGCAGGAGGATCACTGGAGCCCAGGAGTTTGAGGTGGCAGTGAGCTATAATGATACCATTGCACTCTAGGCCAGGCTAGAGTGAGACATAGTCTCAAAAAAAAAAAAAAAAAAAAAGATTGACTCTTAAAAGGAGAGTTGCTGGTGCAAAGGGGCGTGTACACTTAGGCTTTTGGTCAACACGGTCTGATTGGCCTCCCTAAAGGCTGTGCCAGTTGATAGTCCCAACAGGAGTACAGCTGCTTGTTCTACTCATTCTTTCTAAGTTAAAGGCTCGCCTCTTGCTACAGTCCTTAAATATTGGAGGAGCTAAGCTAAGAATGGACCCCCTCAGGGCCACTGATAACAGTAGCATAGATGTGGCCTCAGTCACGTGTGATTCTTCTAGAGACTGATCCACGCTCTGAGGTATCTCAGAAGTCTCACTATTTACAGACAAGATTCCTGAGGGGAAGCCTTTTCTTAATAGGACATTTCCCGATTTTGATATACCCTGGTAATTCCTCATTTTAGAGAGTTTTGGGAAATGAAGCTATGATTTACATACCACTAGGACAACTTGTGAAAGAGGTATCCCAGTCTGTGTAAGGGTGAGGATAGCACCTGGATGGGAGGCCCAGTGCAGGATGGTTGAGCTGGTTTCCTCCTGGGAGGTTGGAGAGGTTCCTGGGGCAGCTCACCTTGAGCCAGCCCCTGGGACACACATTTCTCCCAGGCATGCAGGGAGCTGCCCTTCCTGGGAACGGCAGTGCAGGGCGAGGTGTGGTGGGCCGGGCACTTCCTTCTGTGAATCACTGTGAGTCTGAACAGAGTAATCAAGCAAGAATAGGTCTCCTGGCCCCTTCTCAGACTTTACTCCTCCATTGATTGCCTTGTAGGTTTCCTTTCTCCTGAGGCCTTGCTCAGGAAATGGTTATCACAGTAAAGTCAACAATTGTGTTTGTTCAGTGCTCTCCTACTTTGAGTAGCTCTCACGCATTACCTTACTTAATCTTCACCATGACCTTGTGAGTTGAGAGAAGGCAGGTGTTACCAGCATCCCCAGTGAGTCTGGTCATACAGGCAGTCTTGGGCTGTCTCTAAGCAGGAAACTTACAGCTGTTTGTTTGCATGCTTCTCTCTCCCTTATTTCCTTTCTCTTTTTTTCTCTCTCTTTTCTCTCTTTGTTATTAGATTTACTCCTGAACGTGAAGGTGAAACTCATTTGCTGCTTTCCTCTTACCTGAGCTGGTTGAGAAAGAAACTAGATTATTATATGCCTTCTGTTTCTGTGGATAGGCTAGTTTTATTCTCATACTAGCTTGTCCTTATAGTTTTTTTCTTCTTTTATTTTTCTTTGTGGTTGGGAGAAGGAAGAAAACTGATACAATACAAGGCAGGTGTCAGGGCCCAGAAGAAGGAGTTGTGGGGTGGAGATCGGAGGCTTTCATCACTTGTGCCTATCTCAAAAATATAATAACAAATAAAATAACTTTTATGAACATGTTACAAGTGTTTAAAGAAGAGAATTGTTTCTTAAAAGTACATAATTCCAGCTTTATGGCTTCAGTGAACCAACTCCTGGGGGCGTGTCCTCTGGGCCAACTAGAGAGCAGTGAGCTGCTTGGGGACAGAACTGGTATGACAATAGGCCAAGTATCAAAAACCTTGTTGTTGGAGTAGGGAGGATGATTGTTACGAAATCTTTAGAAACTATCCTAAATGCCAATTTGGGAGTCCGAATGACACAACTGCTGTGTTACCTAAGAACACACTCTCACTCTGAACTATTTTTCCTATTTAGGTAACCAGAGAAGACAAAGACCTGCACAGAAAGATCCACGGGATCATTCAGGAAGATTGCCAGAAACCAAACCGTAAGTGGTGCAATGTACAGGTGACACCCTGGTGCCTTGGAAGGGGATGCTTCCTCCCAGAGAGCACTGAGGGGAGAGTCAGGAGACCTGGGGCTTTTCCCAGTAGCGACTTAGAGAGAGGATGGTCAAAGCACCAGCCCTCTCCTAGCCTCTGTTCCCTCTTTTCCATAGTGGGTGTTAGGCTAGCACACTTGTTCTGACCTTGGCTGCACATAAGATGCAACCTTAGAGCTCTTTCAAACAAGCCTAGGTCCCACCCTGGAGATTCTGATTCTGTAGGGGATGGGGAAGGGGTGGACAGGTAAGTTCCCCAGATGATTCTGATACAGTGAGATAAGCCACCACTCTGGGATTTTTTGATATCGTTCTGGTTCTTGTGTTCTCTCTAATTTATGTTATTTCTTATTTCATGCTTGCCCTTTATTCTTTGAACATGAATCTGACATTTCTCTCTTTCTTAACTTGAAAGCCTTTCAGCGTTGGAAGGCATGGGCTTAGACATTACAGTTTATGAGTGGTATGATTCATTCATCTTGGAAACAATTTGCAAAAGAAATGGTTTAAAAAATGTTTTAGTGGAGTTAGTTCAGCCCCTAGTGGTTAGACATTCAAACTGTAGCTCATCTGACAATAAACATTACCATTTTCACACTAGTTAGAAAGAGAAGAAAGTATTAGCTCTATCTTTAAATCCCATGTAAACTGATCAGTCTTAAAGATGACTTTTTAAAGTCTACTGTTTGCAAACATATGCTAATAACAAGTATTGGAAAGGTTTGCTGATGACTCCAGGTCCCCTGGTCTGCAGAGAAGTCCACCTCCAGTTCAGCCCATACATCCCTGAGCCTGGGCTGGTGCCCAGCTGAGTCAGTGGGTGGAGCTGGGCCAGGTCTCCAGCCCTGGTGTTTATGGTATGAGGCCCTGTTGGCCTTTAAGAACCAATGAGATCAGATCCCAGAGTGGTATGACAACACATCTTAAAATAAACTCAAAGGAATCTATTCTTTTAATGCAAGTGAATGAACTCTGTTCACTTCATTCAGAACAGTAAGAACAAGTGTCCTTTAATTGAAGGAAAACTCTGTTTGTCCACAGTCGGAGGAGCTTTGGATAGCAGTGCAATGTGGGATTCTTCAACTAAGAAGGGATGAGAAGATGTTCCCAAGATAACATCCTTGCACTCATCCTAGTCCCAGGCCCCTGGCCAGATGTTTTTCTTTGAAGCAGTCTCACTTTGTTGCCTGGGCTAGAGTGCCTGGAGTTCTCATAGCTCACTGCAACCTTGAACTCCTGGGCTCAAGCGATCCTCCTGCCTCAGCCTCCTGAGTAGCTGGGACTATAGGCACTGCCATGATGCCCAGCTGATTTTTCTATTTTTGTAGAAAAGGGATCTCAGTCTTGCTCAGGCTGGTCTCCAACTCTTGGCCTCAAGCGATCCTCCCACTTCGGCCTCCCAGAGTGCTAGGTATGGGCCAGTGCACTGGCTGAGATGCTATTTTTATCTGTAATTTGGAACAAAATGGATTGAAGCCTAGGCCTGGTGAAGCAACTGAAAAGAATTCACACTTAATTTCTCAGGAGGACCTAACAACCTAGGTGACTAGAGGGGTTCTAGAAGTGGCAGGTTTTGCATCCACCCACAGGCCAGCTCCTGCTTCAGTAAGTGTCAGGGCAGACAGACTCTACCAGCCAGTCTGTGCATGGAGCCTCAGAACGCCACAAGCCAATCCCCTGCCACTAACCAAATCCCAGGAGCTGAATTCTGGAGCCTGAGTAACTGAGAATGCTGATGAAAAACCTCATAGGGACTGTCCTGGAATCTGCTGTTACTGTTCCTCTTCATAATGCCATAACTTATGGTCTTAGCGATTATTCTGAATAATAATATATGCACATCATAAAAAGTCAAGCAATGCAAAAGTGCACACAGGAAAGTGAGACTCCCTCCCAACACTGTGCCCCAGGCTCTGTGTTCCCTTCTGCAAAGGCAGCAGTTGTCACTAGTTTCTTGCATATCTTTCTAGAGATGTTATATGCACTCACAAACATATTTGTATAGTTTATCCTCTTTAGAAAACATAAGTAAAGGTTAGCAAACAATACACATTGTCCCACACCTTGTATTTTAGGTCTAACATTGGCTTCCGGAGGTCATTTGGCAACAGTACATATAAAAGTGCCCTGTGTCTTTAATAGATGTACCGTATCCCATTATATGTGTAGGGCGACTCTCTATCTAACCATTTCTGCTGGGCCTTTAGTTTGTTTCTAACCTTTCGAACAAAATATAGCATTGAGTTTTTCCTTGTAGAAGGACTTGAAATCTTCAGTCATTTGTGAGGGTCTCAGCAAAGGCTAAACCTGCAGTAATGAAAGAACTATGAACATCAAGCCCAGTTTGGGTCCCAGAAGGATTGATACGGGTTGTCTAAAGATGGGCAGTATGGCCTTGTGAGGAGCTGGGCTTGGTAGCCTCCTTACCTGGGTTTGAATCTCAGCTCTGCCACTTTGCAGCTGTGTAACTTTGGGCAAGTCTGCGCCTCAGGTTCTTTTAATGCAAATTGGGGATAATAATAGTACCTACATGATGGGTTGTTGTTGAAGTAAATGAATTGGTGTTCATGCATGTAATTAGGGCTACCCAAAAAAGGACTAAATAAAAATGAAGTTCTCTCTCCTGATGGCACAGGTGATAGCCCTTCACTCTCTACTTAATATTGCTCAGGAAGGAAGGCGTTTCAGGTAGAATCTGTGTGTGGATTTTGCTCTATTATTGTTTGGCTAATGTTAAAAAAAACACTGGAGTTTGGCTTAAGTATGGGTACAACAATGTCAAATTACCCAAAAAGAAAGTGTTCCACATTGAAGATGTCTTTTTATCCCCAGCTTTTTATTTTGAAAATGTTCCAACCTATAGAAAAATTAAAAAGTGAGTACAGAAAATACCCATATATCCTTTAGCTAGAGTCACTAAAAACTTCAGCTTGTATTTTCTAAGCATAGGGACAGTCTGCTATATGATCACCAAATCATTTCACACCTAAGAAAATGCATGTTTAATGGGTAGGCTCCAAAATGGCAACATTTCACTAGATGACGACTTTATACAATTAGCTTTTCAAAAAGCTCACATGTATGTAGCTCAATTCATTCTTACTGTCCTTAGAGCTGGATAGTACTACTGTTTTGTGTGGAAACTGAATACCGCATGAAACTACTCATGCTATAGTAATGTTTTTTGGGTTTTTTTGACTTATGACAGTCTTTTTTAAAAGACTATTAAAGTGATTCCCTAACCTTTTATAATTACAGTAGTAGATTATAACTGAAGTTTATCTAATTGATTTGGGTCTTTAGAGCATGGGCATTTGGGGTTCCTGGTGGAGGTATGGGACAAGTGAAGATATATGCAAATGTACTTGGAAAAATATAAGGCACAGTTATTGTTCTTTGAAGTGCATTTTAAGATAACTATGGCTGCGAGGCAGACACTTCAGAAAAGTGTGCTTCAGCTTGTGGGTTTGTTCTGGAAGAGTCAAGTTATATGATGGTGCTAGCCGCTGGGGAACTAACTGCTTGCTATCTTTTACTACTTTTATTATTTTCTGATAATTTCTCATATATAGCAGAGTCTAAGTTCATGTTATCCATGTGACTGGAAGGTCACTTTTGAACAGCCTTACCAGACAACCCTTAGACAGCAGAACAGCCTTTCCGAAGAAATGCAAGGCCTCAGGGACAGTCAGCATCACTGCTTAGGGGCTCTTGTATGGCTGTAAGTTACCTAGAACTCTGAGCCTGAGCATCTGGGCAGCACAAAAACTAAGGTTAGAAGCCAAGTGGCACTGAAATTCCTGGTACTGCTTTCTGCTGTGAGCACTGATGTGATTGGTGTCCTTCACCCTCCATCACCAGGGTGCCCCCACCCTGTGTTATTCAGCTTTTCCTCCTTATGAGTCTTTCCTTTTTTCCTTTCCTTCCTTTCCTTTCCTCTCACCTTCTTTTTTAGAGACAGGGCCTTGCTCTGTCTCCCAGGCTGGAGTGCAGTGGTGCTCACTGCAGCCTCAAACTCCTGGGCTCAAGTGATCCTCCTGCCTCCGCCTCCCAAGTAGCCCAAACTGTAGGCATGTGCCACCATGCCAGGATAATATTTTTCAGTTATTTTTAAGGCAGAATCTCTGTGTTGCCCAAACTAGTCCTGACCTCAATCAGTGCTCCTGCCTTAGCCTTCAGAGTAGCTAGGACTACAGTTGTGAGCCGTTGTGCCCAGCCTGAAGCTTCTTTAGAGCAGAAACTAAGTTATGTGCATCTTCTTAGGTTATGGACATAATGATGGAATCATAATAGTTCCCCATGAGAAGCACCCTCCATGGGTCTGTTATCCACATAACCACCCTATTCCCGTGAGCCACTTGGCCCCAGTCGTAGAGCCAGGACTTGAATTCAGGTCTGATGGACTCCAGTGGCAGTTCTGTCTGCCATGCTCTACTTGCTCCTCCTTGCTCAGTGCTACACACAGCAGGTGTTCAGGAAGCCTTTATTGAGTGAGTGTTGAAGAAACAGCCTGGAAATGTGGAGAGCCGCAATCCCAGCGAGGAGGTGTAGTGAGTGGGCGCAGCCACCAGAGGTCAGAATACAGCAAATCTTCGTTTAGCCCCTGCAGCCATCTCTGAACCTCAGAGGTGGTACCCCTCCCCGTAGCAGGGAACACTGCAGCTATGCTCTGGCTTGCCCAAGGCTACAGAGGCACACCGAATCTTGAACCGTGCTTTGCCCTACACCCCAGTAGTCTTTGAGCACCTTCCTGGAGCCTAAATTATTTTTTCATCTGAAAACAACATTCAGTGGCTGTGTGGAGCAGCTTTTGTGTGCCAGGTGCTGGTATATGACAGAGGGAGGGCATGCCTGGCTCTGCCATGGAGCTTCAAACTGTGAAAATTGGGAAGGGCTTGCTTATAGTAAGTTTCCCAATAAATTATATAATTCTAATGCATAAGAGGTATATATATATATGAAATAAAGTTTCATAAAATACTTATGCACTTATAATGCAATATATTCTGTAATTTCTACTCTGGTCTGTTTTAGTCTGTTTGCTAAGAAAAAGAATTCTAATCACAACCCACAAAAATTTATTTCATGATCCCCTAATGGTCACGACCCTCAGCCTGATTTACCACTGCTCTAAATAATTGATTTCAAGTGGGCAAGAGGTTACTAAACCCGAACTTTTATCATTGTATACCAAATGGTCTTAGTTTTGGTAGAGGCTTAGAGGTTACTATTATGGAACACAGCCATCACAAACAAGACTTCCTGGAGGCCAGGAAGGGAGGAATGAGAACAGGCCAAAGGTGGGAATCCCTTCCTGCCATGGCAGCCTCATCCAGTCAGGACTACGGGAAGGAACACGGTGGATGCAGCAGACCAGCTCTGCCGTGTATCTGAGCACCCGCCAGGGTGGCTGGAGGTTCAGCACTGAATACATGAACTTAGGTGTGTAATTGCACTAGAGAAAAAACTTATCAAGCACTAAAAATATATTAGGTTGTGGATATAAAATCATTGATTGGGAATCCTTCAAAGTTGAAGGTCAGAGTCCCTGCGCAGCAGGTCCATGTTGCTGTGATGACATACGGGGCTGGAGAACAGGTTTTTTGTTTCTTTGATAATCTAGACCAGTGCATCTCAGACTTTAATGCACATGTGAATCATCTGAGGATCCTGTCAAAATTCAGGTGCCAGTTCAGGAGGTGTGGAGGGAGAGGACAGAGGAGGGTCTGACACTCGTGTCCAAGCTCAGCCGCTTGCCTTTTTCCCACAGACGAGGAGAAGGGCTGCCACTTCCTGCACATCTTGGCCTGCGCTCGCCTGAGCATCCAGCCGGGCCTGAGTGAGGCTGTGCTGCAGCGGGTTCTGGAGCTCCTGGAGGACCAGAGTGACATCGTCAGCACCATGGAGCAGTACTACACGGTGTTCTGAGCAGAGGCCTCAGAAACACGCAAGGACGAGAAAGATGAGGTGGCGTTCCCTGCCAGGCTCTGGTTTTATACCTCATGCAGGGGCTTGCATGAAGGCAGTTAGCTCCTAATACACTATAAAATATGGTCATTCAGGGAATAGAATTTGATGTGAATGCTGCTGGCTTCCTTCTACCTGCTGTATCCTTGAGAGACTGACCTCACCATGACATACAAGAAAACCCTACCTGTTGACCTCCTGGCTGGGCATCACTGGCGGAGCAGAATGGGGACGAAACGGTGTTGGCAGCTTCCTCGGCATGTGTGTGTGGAGGCTGTACGTGGCAGAGGGACACCACGGGATAAAGGCCCACATGCTGAGGAACTGAAGCACACACTGCCAGACCACACAATTCTAAACTTTTTAAAACTTCAGGCTATCAGAGGCATTTCTGTGGGCCTCCCTTAATGGCTAAGAACTGGCTTAGGAGAGTACTGCCTTGTCGAGTGTCACTTGCCTATGGTTTCTGTAGCTTAAGCACCAGTAGTGGGGCCTGGGTTTATGTTCCTTACAGAGTTACCCAGAGATGGGAATAAACAGGGATGCCAGGCCTGGCTCTGTGTTTATCATTTTCCATGTATTTCCCTCTGAATCAAAAAGGTGTCTCGGTACATTTCCCTGCACTTGCAGAGGTGCATGACTAAGCGCATCATCCCTCAGTGTCCCTGAAGATCCCAGAGGTGTCAGCCAATTGCCTGGCAGGCAGTAGATGTTATTTTCAAGGTTGCTGCTGAGTGTGCAGGACGTGCTGACACCACCAGACAAAGACTCAGTATGTGTCCAGACAGGTGATGGAGTCATGCTTTTGCCCGGAATGACAAGGTAAAGGAAAAACATCTGAGGTATGTAGTAGGCTTGTTCTAACAGCAAAATGACAGATCCAACCAGCGAAAATAAAGTGTGGAGAAAGATTTGGAGTTAATTACAGTCATTTCACAGAAGACACATTGCACAGAAGACGCTGCCTTTGTCTGCTGCATTTGCTCTTGATGCAGCAAACCTTAGTGGCTCGGCTGGAGGCTGCAGGCCTGGAGAGTTGCTCCCCCCGCGCTGGAAATGGAATGGTTTTCACACTGAGAAGTCAGCTGCAGCTCAGTATGTCAGGCTGAGAGCTAGTACTGGCAGATTACTTCTGTCCTGGACGTTTCTAATGTCTCAAACCTTTGCTGATTTCTAACAGTGGTTAGAAATACAAATAGCTACCCTTTGTCTTCCCTGTGTTGAGAGAGTGCCTGCAGAATAGGGTCTGCCTGGAATGACGTCCAGCAGTTCTCCCTTGAGGTCAGGAGCTGTTCCATACTGAATAGGTCTTTGAGTAGTGGAGCTGCCCAGAAAGGAGTCTAGAATCTATGTAAAAAGGGCATATCCTTGCACACAGCAGCTCTACTCCCTAGGGGTTTATCTCAAGGAGGTCACCACACAAGTGTAAAAGGATCATTGCACAAGATGCCCATTGCTATGTAATCTAGAATTCTATAACTGGGGCAAATAGATATCTGTAGGGAAAAAGTTAATTATGGTTTATGTACACATTGAAATACTATGCAGCCTCTAAAATGATGAAGCAAACAGATAGTATTGCCATTCTTGCTAAATCTACATTCCCAACAGATACAGTGAGAGGGAAATCAAGTTATAGATCTGTTTATATTATATAATACCATTGATATAAACTTCCCTGTGTGTATGTATGTATCTATGCAGAGTGTTTCTGTATGTATGTCTTTATAAATGGAGCACATGTATACACAAACATACCATTAACTGCTCCCCTCCTCCTAGAAATATTTTCTGCACTTGGCTTTGAGGACACCACACTCTCTGGCTGCTCCTTCCCAGGCTCCTTTGCTCCATGCTCTGTCTCCCTGAGGGCCCAGGGTTCATGCCCCGGCCCAGACCTCATTTCTCTCTGGCTTGCTCCCCTGGGTGTCTTAGGCAGCCTCGTGGGTCTACCGTCTCTATGCTGTCACACTCCCCATCTTACATCTACATCGGGCCTCTCCCCTGAGCTGCAGGCCCCTGCATCCTACTTCCTACTGGCATCTCCACTCAGGGCTCTAATAGGCATCACGACCTAACAGGCCCAAAGCCATCCCTGACTCCAGTCATCCCTGACCCCAGACTTGCTCCTGCTGAATTCTTCCCGGATTCAGGAAAAGGCAGCTCCATTTCCGAGTTGCTCAGGCCAAATCCATCAACATCTTTCTTTCTCTCATACATCACAATCAACCTGTCTGCAAATCATGTTGGCTCTACCTTCAGAATATTTCTAGAATCTAGGCGTGCACAGTGGCACGTGCCTGTAGTCCCAGGTACTCAAAAGGCTGAGGCAGGAGGGTGGCTTGAGCCCAGGAGTTTGAGTCCAGCCTAAGCAACATAGCCAGACTCACATCTCTAATAAAAAAAAAATTTTTAATTTAAAAATTAAAAGTTAAAAATAATTTCTAGAATCTAAGTCTTCTCCCTCCTCTGCTCCTCCTTGCCCCCCAGTGTCGCAGTCATCTCCTGATAGTCTTCCCTTCTTCAGTCTGGCCCCTCTTAAAATGTCAGCATGGCAGCCACAGCTGTCCTGTTGTCTTCCAGGCTCCAGGGCTTTCCATCTCGCTCCAAGCAGGGTCAGCAGGGCAGTGCTCTGCATGGCCCTCCTGCTGTGCCCTGCTCCTCACATTCCCACCTTAGGGCCCTTGGGCCTGAAATGTTCTCCCACATAACCATATGATGTGCCTCCCCCTCCCCTTGCTTTTGGGTCTTTGCTTGAGTGTCACTTCTCAGTGAAGCTGGTCCTCATTCTTCCTGCTGATTATAACCTAGCTCTTCTCCCTCCTCCCAGAACTCCCTTCCCTGACCAATTTCCCTCCACAGTCCTCATTGCTAGCTAACACTCCATGTGTTTCCTCCTTGTCTTGTTTATTTTCTGTCTCCCCAATAGAAAAGCATGCTCCATGAGGGCAGAGTTCTCTGTTTTGTTTCATTCTATGTCCCAGCACCTAGAACAGTACTTGGCATGTCTTTCAAGCAATTCCACTGCTGTGTGTCTTTCTGGCTACCTTCCAGCTGCCATCTGCCTCTTTCTTGGGGGCTTCCTCCAGCACCTTAGAAGGCTGTGCAGGCTGGGAGTGCGCAGTATTCATCCCCTGGGAGCAGCCGGAGCCAGTGGTACCTGGGGTATAAATACGCCAACTCCCTCCCCCTGCAGCTGGCATATTGCTGAGGCACATGTTCTACACTGTTCTAGAGTTTCCTCATGGGATGAAATGCCATTCTCCCACAGTCACAGCTAACTTGACAGCCACCAGCCTCACCCTCCCTCTCATACCCCTCCTCGCCTCCCGTTACTGTTCCTGCACCCCCCCTCCCCCAATGCATCTCTCACTTGCTAGTCTTTGCCTTGGGGTTGGCTTCTGGATGAACACAGATTAACACCATCTTCACAAATATGCTTGGGAAATGCTGCATGAATAATTATACACATCAAACAGATAACTGGAAATGCTCACCAAAATGATATACTTGTTGCCTCTGAAAGGTGAGATCTCAGGTGCTTTTTAAACTACATGTCTGTACTTCGGTTTTTTACAATTAGTAAGTACCATGTCTACAAAAATTATAAAGCTGTTTGTCACTCTGCACCCCACACTCACATAACCTGAATCATAAATAAACCGAGAAGGAGATAGGCGTCTTTCCTCTACAGCAACATCAGTGCTCTAAGAAGATGAGGGAAGCGCCTGGAAAACTCCCCGGGGCTAACTACAGTTGGGTCACTGTGTGTGTGTACTGAAGACGAGGGACAGGGTTTCCCTGAAAAGGAGGAAGCCACAAACATTCTCCAGCTCTCTTGGTACACACATGTTTTGGGAGGTGTGAACCCCCAAAACGTATAGTTTTGTGGGCAAGGAGACAAGTAGTGCTACTGTGTGGTCAAGGATTTGTTTGAAGATCTGTGGTTGTCCCCATCTGGTCAGCTACCAGTGCTCTTTATGCCTGTAAGACACTTCTTTCTCATTATCTCCCCCTCTGATGGGGTGCCAGGACACTGGCCGAGACAGCCGGGTGGAAAGAAGTCTGCTCAATGATGAGGAACCCAAGACTGGGTGCCAAGGATTCAAACCAAGCAAACTTGTAATTTTCCGTTGGCGAAAACATCTACACTTTCTCATTAGCTCGGTTTCCTCCCCACAAGTGGCCTCTACAGCAGTTGCTCCAAAGAAGCATCTCACTGTTCCCATACTAAATTTACGCGACGCCTACAGGCACACTCAGAAGGACACGAGGCTTGCTGGGGATGCTGGCAGCAGGCGCTGGGGCAAGGCAGGGCCATCCTGAAAGGAGATGGTGTCTGGACAAAACCTTGCAGTAGAGTTCTTTTATGTGTGCCATTCTACTGGTGGAGGTTGTAAGTGAGCTGAAACTCCCACATAAGTAGGTTTTCATTGTGATCCAGAATTTTAAACAAATTCAGCCTGTTCTTATTGAACTTTTACAATCTGTTATCTGTTAACCACTATAAAATAAACCCGGACAGGTAAGTCACAGCGCAACATAAGGTTCTGTGTTCACAAGAATTCTACAACAAACCCCAAATTGCTGAGAGGCTCAAGTCACTCCCTATATGTCAAATTAAAATGGTAGGTTTTTGTTTTGGAACATAAAGAGGAATCTTAAAGACCACATAATAGCCCTGTTTTTGTTTGTTTGGTTGGTTTTTTTAAGATAGAGACAGTAAAGTGATGTCTCATTAATTCAGACTGATTTGGCAAAGGTCTGTGTGAATTAGTGAAAAGTCTGAATTTTAATTGTGTTGTTTTGTTACTTTGGTTTTTTTACTTTTTATTACTACCCAGTGGTCCTTATTAAATCTGAATTACCAGGAAGGAACAGGTTTCTGCCCTTAGGGAACCTGCTTTAATGAGTAAGGATTAATTATGTATCATTTATTCAATAGCAATTATGTATTTATCATTTAATATTTAGATGATTTAAAAGTACTTGAACACAAAGGAATTAAAAACATATCCATTGCTATGGACACATGTACAAAAACTGTACAATATTATTCCAAATAATATACAATAATGTACAATATTATAACCAAAAAGTGGAAACAACCCAAATGTCTGTCAGCTGATGAAATGGATAAAAAGTGGGATATTCATACACTGGAAGATTATTCAGCCATAAAGAGGAATGAAGTATTGATATATGCTGCATGATGAACCTTGAAGACATTACGCTAAGTGCAAGAAGCTAAAGGCAAAAGGCCATGTGTTACACAATTCCATTTATATGAATGTCCAAAACATAACAAATCCATAGAGATAAAAAGTAGACAGGGAGGAGAGGAGTGGTAAGGACCTACCTAATGAGTACAATGAACACTATTCAGGTGATGGGCACTCATAGTCCTGACTAAAGCATTATAAAAGCTATCCATGTAACAAAAACACCCCGTTAATAATAAAAAAAAAAGTTGAGAAAATTGAGGCTTAGAGACAAGAAATAACTTGCCCACAGTGAACAAAAAAATAGTAGATGAGTGTCACCAGGCATGGAGTGGGTGAGGATTGGTTGGTACAGGGTTCGTTTTGGGGATGATAGAAATGTTCTGGAATTAGTGGTGCTGTTTGCACAACTCTGTGAACATACTCAAAACCACTGAACTGTGGGATTCCGAACATCACGGTGGCTGGGTTTCCAGGGTGGGTATTCCAAGAGAGAGCAAGAGCCAGATGGATGCCATAAGGCCATTTTTGTGTAGCCCAGAAGCCACATGGTGTCACTTCCACAGCATTCTGATTGTCAAGGCTGTCACAAGGTCCCACCCAGGCATAAAAGATGGGGATAAACTCTACCTCCTGATGGGGAGTAATGAGGTTCTGGAAGGGCCTGGAGGACTGGGAATATTGCCCTG